ATTCATAGAATGTGCGTTGGAAGGTCCCCACAAGGATTGAGTCCAACTCCTGGGTCCCCACAGGACTCCCCAAAATCAGACCATGTGTCTGACAGCATTGCCCAAACACTTACTGAACTTAGGCAGATTCAGTGGTATGACTGCTGCCCTGGGGAGCTTGCCCCAGTGCCCGACCACCTCTGGGTAAAGAATCTTTCCCTAACACTCAGCCTGACCCTACCTTCTCATTCCATGATGTTCCTTTGGGTCCTGTTGCTGGTCACCAGCGAGAAGATCTTGGTGCCTGCCTCTCTGACTGATCACATTAAACATAAAACCACTGTTTTTCTGTTTCTGCTTACTACACTGGCAATAAGGCACAATGTGGACAGTACTAAGCTGATTTTCTGTACGTTCTGACCTCCAGAACCTATTTTTATTCCAGATTCTTTATGCAATTGGATTTTCTCTTCCATTAAACTTTTTGAACTACATGTCCTATTTCAACCAGATATGACAGAGGTCTGAAAGATTCACAGAAAATCAGTGGTTGAATACAGCTGTAACTCCTGAAATGGTACCACACTGATACGTAGTTTAAGTGAGCAGTTGTTTCCTTCAGACATCAAGCAAGCATCTATACCAAACAGCACAAAACCCAAAAATCCTTGCTAAAACTTGCACATTTTTTTTTAGTGCTTCTTTGTTATAATAAAGACATATATTTGAGTTCTACTTATAGCAAGTGAATTTTGCTGAGAGAAATCAGATGTGCTTTCTTAGCACAATTTGTAGGAATCCATACATACAGGCCTAGAGAGAGGCATAGCTAGGGAGGCATACAAAAAATCATATGATCAAACTCATCATGCAATCTGGTCAATAGCATCAAAATCGGTAGAGTTCAAAGGAAGATAGCAGAGGAGCTGTAACTAAAACTTCTAAGAGCCATTTCAATGTAAGTGGCAGCACAGGGATTTAACAATGATCTATTATTTCAGTTTTCTTTATTGGTTTACAGCAGTTATATTGTTGGTAGACCCATAAGTAAATTGAAGAAAAAAACAATGGAGACTCCTAAAAAGTCATTTCTGAAGGAATTGCTAGGTGGTGCAAGAAATGAAGGCTAGTAGCCACTTATGTTTCTTTTTTTCTTTTCAAATAATGGCTTTAATATTGTCTGTTTTCATGGAGAGGACAAATCTCAGTAAGTATTTTCAAACAGTAATTTCTCATCTCCCACACCACCTAACATAATATGCAGTAACAGCTCTCCAGTCCAAACTTTTAAGAATGTTAAATTTTCATACGATTTGCTAGAAAGGGAAGAATCAGTTTTCTGAAATAACACTGAACGTGACTAGACATCATGTTCTAGTCTTTAAACTATACTGAGACCCTTGTATGTTTTTCTATTATAAAGTTGCTGGAAAAGAGGAACTCCTGTGGGAGTTAGGTTAAGTCTACTGATAATATTTACTTTCAAAAAGAGTCAGTTTTGCTCTGATCCAAACATAATTATGTGGTTGATGGATTCTAGTGAGAAATTCTCTGTTTTTAATCAAGTGGTGAATGAGAAGTGCAGGACAGGTGTATTTTACAAAATTAGGTTAACATTAGCCTGAAAGGAATGTATGCTAGATTTCTGGGGGCCTGAATGTATCTTTTATTCAACACACTTTTGAGAAATGCAACATTCTAGATCTGTATAATCTGATGTCCAAGTAACATGGAAACATTCTTCGAACGGTATTTTGTGGTGCTCCACACTTACATATCTCCACACTTACATATCTCTATTTTATTCAGTAGGAGGAACAAAAATCACCTGCAAAGGAGAACAAGGTAATTGTGTGATTTTCATTTTGTACCAGATCAAGAATTTAATAAAATTGCAATATCTTTGCTTACAGCAAAGCCAGTTCTTGTCTGGGTGTCTCATTAAATCTCCTCTTGTTCTAATAATGTCTCCCCAGAAGAAAGAATAACCATTCCTTCCATAAGATCATTATTATTTATTTTATACTAATATGAGTAGTAACACTGCTGTGAGTCTTAAAATCTGGGCATAAGCCCATTTGGACCTTGTCTTACTTAGATTCTTGATAACTTTTAAGTTATTCTTTGGGATGAGGGCTGGGAATATATTTGGATTTAAAATATCATTTCCAAAGGTTCCATAAATTATTTTAAAGGACTATTATGGGATATATTTTGAACTATTTATGAATCTTAACTAAGAGTCTATGCTCCTTTTTTAAAGAGGATGGGCACAGTAAATGCAGAGTTACAAATTACTGAGGCCTGCACAGAAGAAAAGCAAATAAAAATAACTCAGAAGAGGGAAATGATGTACTTTAAATAGAATTAAAAAAAAGGAGATTCCTGTCTTTTCTAGACTGAATGTTATGTACTGAACAAGTAAGCACTGATCCAAACTACTATTTCCCGTACATTTTGACCTCGCTATAAATGACGCATTCTGCCCACAAACTTAAATAAAGTTAAAAAAAAAGACCATAGGAACACAGAATAATTCAGATAATAATAACCTCCAGAGGTCTTCTGTCCAATCACTTGTTCAAGTCAGGGTCACCCATGAAACCAGACAAGATTATCAAGGATTTTATCCAGTCTGGGCTTGCAAACCTTGAAGGATGGAGAATGTACAACTTCTGTGAATAGCCTGTTTCTGTCATACACATGTCTTTATCAACTATTTTTTTTTTTTTTTAACAGACAAGAACTTGGTTTTGATACAGTTAGGTTTGCCTGAAAGACCTAGATTGTTATTTGATCCCTATGCAGATCATGTAAAAATAACATTGTTTTGTTGCACAGTAAATGGCAAACTTACTACAATTTTAGTTTTCACCATGCATCTATCTGTACATTACCTGATGGCAGAGGTTTTGTGTAGAGTCTGTGATCTGACACTCATGGTTGACATAAAGACATTTTAATAGCATAGAAAAGGAAGGGAGAATAATGATAAAAGTATATAAAAAGCAAGTGATGCACAATGCAATTACTTATCACTGACCAATGCTCAGCTGATTCCCAAGAAACAGCCACATACCCTCCCCAGTCAACTCCCCTATTTTTATTGTTCAGCATGACACCACATGGCATGGGACATCCCTCTGGCCAGCTGTCCTGGTTCTGTCCCCTCCAGCTCCTGGTGCACCCCCAGCCTCTTGCTGGTAGGGCAGCACCAAAAGCTGAACAGTCCTGGGCACTGTGTGAGCACTGCTCTGCAACAACTGAAACATCAGTGTGTTATCAGCATTATTCTCATCCTAAATCTAAAACACGGCACCATACCAGCTACCACCCATGAGTCAGTACAGAGATGAGCATGGGCCACTTTTCTTGTTCAGCAATATCTAAAGCCAGCTGGATGGACTTCATTTCTTCAAATTGTCTCGATTCACCTTCTCCTTCAGCAGTTTCTGTGACTTACCCTGTAGGACTCCATACAGCAGCCTTCTGCCTCCAATACTTTCCCACAATATGTCAGGACCTATCATGAACAGAGCACATTGCTTCTCATTTTCTGGTAGCTTGTTATGCAGTGGGGCTTCTTCAGTACCTCACCTCTTTCTGTGGCGATATTCTCAAATCTTTGCCTTCTGGCCAGTCCACAACCACTTCCAAGACTCCTGGGTGACTGGAGTTTCATAATCAAGCCCGCTGTGTGATCAGTTTGACCCAGTTACTCCACGTAGCACCAGCTGCATGATGTTTAGAGGGGACCCTCCCTTTGAACATCCAGCCCAGCCCTGGTAGTCAGGATGCTAGGAGGAGCTGTGCTTCCGTTCCAAGAGAGTGGCTGCATTGTTTGCTGCAGGGTTTGGAGTGGCCACAGAGCCCACTGCAGGTGTTGGAGCCGTTTTGGGTAGGCATGGTCCAGGCCCCAGCATGCTGCAGTGATTCATGACTCTGGAATTGCCAGGGTGATGGCACAAGTTTTTCAAACGTTTTACCAGTTTTTCAGGGTTCTGCATTTGTTCAGGGGTAAAGTTCCAAAATAGCGGAGGTACCCTGGACTTGCTTAAAGTATTTGACACTGTCCTACGCTAGCCTGCACTCTGTGGGTGTCCTTGATGAGGCAGAACTGTGCTGGGGTCCTGCAAACCTGTCTGTCCACCACTCTGGTTCTGTGTCCCAAGGAGCAATGCCTGCTAGGTTGCTCCTGGGGACACCTGCAACAAAGATGGACATTGAGGCCCTGGAGTGTGTCCAGAGCAGGGCTATGAAGCTGGTGAAGGGCCTGGAGCACAAGACCTGTGAGGAGCAGCTGAGGGAACTGGGGGTGTTTAGTCTGGAGGAGGCTCAGGGGAGGCCTCATTGCTCTCTACAGCTACCTGAAAGGAAGGTGTGGGGAGCTGGGGGTCGGCCTCTTCTTGCACATAACTAGTGATAGGATAAGTGGGAATGCCCTCAAGTCATGCCGTTGGATGTTCAGGTTGGAAATGGAGAGACATTTCTTCTCAGAAAGAGCAGTCAGGCACTGGGACGGGTTGCCCAGGGAGGTGGTGGAGTCACCGTCCCTGGGGGTGCGCAAGGAAAGGTTGGACGCGGTGCTTGCGGACATGTTTTACTGGGTGACACTGGTGGTAGGGTGGTGGTTGTACCAGATGATCCTGGAGGGCTTTTCCAACCCCAACCATTCTGTGTCTGTAAGCAGAGCTCCTCCGGCGGCTCCCGCCCCAGCCCTGCAGCTCGCAGGGTCACCCGCAGGGGGAACCCGCACCGGGGCGCTCAGGCCCTGCCGCCGCGCTTCCTCCCGCTCCCCCCGTCCCTGCCACAGCCGGGGGGAATCCCCACGGCCCCCTCCGCCCTGCGCCTGTCCCGGCACCGGGGTCGGCCCCGCGGGGCCCCGCGGCTCCCTCAGGGGCGAGCGGCGCGGGCAGGGTCCGAGGCGAGGCGGGGCGGGGCGCGGGCGGCCGCTAGGGGGGGCCGGGCCCGACGCTGCCGCCGCGTCCCGCCCCCGGCGCCGAGAGCGGGGCGGGGCAGGGCCGCGCCGGGCCGGGCCGGGCCGGGCCGAGCCGGAGGGAGCGGAGCGGAGCCGAGCGGGGCCCCGGCAGCTCCGCCGCCAGCCTCGGCGCCGCCCTGGAGCTCAGGTAGGAGGCGGCCGCGGGCCGGCGGCGGCGGGCTGGGGGCTGGGGGCTGGGGGCGGCCCCGCCGCGCTGGCTGTGCCCCTGCCGCCCCTCGGGAGCGCGCTGCTTGCGGGGCGCGGGGCGCTCGGGTTTTGTTCCTGGTTCTCCCCTTCCTCGGGGAAGGGCGCTGAAGATGGAGGAGGGGCTGAGATGGAGGGAGGCGAGGCCCGCGGGGTCGTGCGGCTGCAAGGAGCCCGGCGAGGGGCTGCGGCCGGGCTGGGAAGCGACCTGCGGGGTACGGGGGTGGTGGGTGGGTGGGTGGCACCTCTCCTGCAGGCGCTGGGTGCCTGCTGCGGGCTGTGTCCCCTCGGGACAAAGCGCCCGGCACTGGCACAGCCTGGGCTCAGCACGCACACGGCAGATCCGACAGCGCGCACCGCCTGCAGTAAGCGTGGCGCTTCCCCCGTAACTTGCGGAGCGCGCCTTGTTGTCTGCCTGCCGGCAGATGCAATCAAAAGAAATGGCATTGCCTTGCCTGCTGGGCCCTGAGCGCACCGCGCTGTGTTTGTTTACGGTGGCGGCTCCGGGGCGCAGAGCCAGAGCCGAGCTCCCGGGCTCCCAGCGCGGCGCTGCCGCTCGCGCCGCTCCTCTCTGAGGTGGGAGCAGCGGGCACCCCGCGGCCGCCTCGTTGGGCTCTTACAGGAGAAAGTCGGTGCCTCTCCGACACAACCCATCGTGCTTTTAAAACTTGTCTCAAAAAGTTGCCTGTTTTTCTTATTTAACAGGCAGTTTAATTTGTAGATGAGCCTTTTTTTGTTTTATACCCCCAAGTCAGCTAACCTGGAACTTGAGAGAAGATGACTTTTTGAAAATGAATTTTTGGCTAGCGAGAAGGTGAAAATCAAAGGTACAGGGAAGCATATTCTTTGTTATTGCACAGTCTTTAAACTTAACTTCAGTTCTTACTAGCTGAAGAGCAAAGTGATCTGTGTCGCGCCATGTGCCAGCTTCCTTACAGGTGTCACAGGGCTCCGGCTTTAGCTGAGCAGCCGTAGGGAGCGGCCATTTCGTGGTGGACAGGAGCATCCCCGTAACAAGGGTGGGTCAGGGGGCAGCACTCATCTGCGGCTCCAACCAGCAAGAAAGGGGCATTGCCAGCTGCAAGGGCTGTACCAGTTTCAGAAACATCCCTCTCTGTTAAACACCTTCATCTGGTGTTACTTGGCAAGGAGGGACTACATGGCCTTCTTTCCCTCCGCTTTCATTTACTTTTCCTGCTTGCTCAGTCTGCTTATACAAAATTCATCAGCCTGGACCCGCTCCTGAAATCCCATCTGTGCAGGCGTGAGCTGTGTCAGGCTGGCCTGGCCTGCGGGCTGTCACAGCAAGCTCGTCCTTCCTCAGTAACTCATTCACCATCCTCTGCTGTCCATAAGGGTGCTTGTAAGGATGGCCATACTTGTTGTCTGTTTAGGGCTGAATTAATAACAAGAACTAACAAAATAGGTAACTGGCTCTTGCAGGAGGCAGGTGGAAGCAACCTTCTTTTGCAGAGCACGCAGCAGCCCGTTGTCCTGCTCGCAGCACGTGGTGTACCCGATGGTTGTACCACCTGGCTCAGGGGTTTCTCCATTGCCTGCCCACCAGGGCAGCGCCCTTCCTTCCCACCAGCCTGCCAGGTGCTGCCCTCACGTCGTTCTTGCAGCTGCAGAGGGGACTGTCCTTCTGCATCTCATCCTGAAGTCACCGCGCTGGCTCTGCTGCTGCAGTTGTATCCGATCGTCTGAGTTTCCTGAGGCTTGTGGGGTTGTGACATGAACCCCGTGCGTAATTTCATTTTCATATGTTTATATTAGAACACAGCTTAACAGATTTTATTTTCCATTCTCTGTCTGAATGTTGCCTTATGGGATGCAGCAGTTTAATGTTGCCTCGGTCGCTCTTTCTTTGGCTTAGAAAAGTTTGGTATTTCTTAAGGAATGGAAAAGTGTTGACGAAGAATGTGAACGGTTTACCAAAACCTTTCATGGGCTTGTTCTGAGATTTCTTTTCCCCCACACCCTTTTCCTGTCTCTACAAAACAAGGTATTGGTCTGTAAGATACACCGCAGGTTTTTCAGGGAGCCTTGAAGAGCATGGTGAAGCAATGTTTTTCTAAGTGCCTTCTGCTGAAGGGTTAAGAGCCAGTTTAAGAGCAGCCATGGGCCAGCAGCAGCAGTGCCTGCCTGCAGCGGTATCACCAGCCTGCACTGGAGGGGCTGCAAGCTGCACACAGCTCAGTCTGTGGGCTGTTTGCCCCTGCTCTGTGTACCAAAACCTGGCACCTTTGTGGTTAATTTTCTAGAGATGCATTTTAGCTTGACATTTCCCTCTCCAGTAAATAGTTCAGGTGTTTTAATTGCAGATCTGAAATAACTATTTCCAGAAACCTTTGCTCAACAAGCACCTAATTCCATCAGCATGTCCATCAATGACAGCAAAACAAGATGGGATTTCAAGGTATACGTACTGTGTGTATATGGATTTTTTTTTTTTTCCTTTCAGGCTGTAAGGGCAAAGCTGTAGTAAACCTTTTACTTCCCTTCTTCACAAACAGAGATGATTGAAGTACTTGATCAACAATGTGTTGGCTTTACACACGATGGATGACATTACTTGCTGTGTTATTTCCTAATGTCTGATAGACAATCATAGTATCTTTCAATTGCTTTGTGTATTTTAAGAAGTAACAGAAGCACAGAGAAGGGGAGACATTGAAAATGGTACTACTTTGTTGACATCTGTGTCCTGTATGTTTGATGCCTGTACACGGTTGGGATGTGCTGCATGTATTGCCACTTCCCCTTTTGCCGCTCGCTTACTGCATGTTAAGAGTATTTTATTGGTAAGACAGATCTTTGTGGTTCTTAATAAATGAAATTACCTGCAGGCTTGCCATCTTGAGAAAAAGGAAAAAAAAAAATATATATATATATATATATATTATATTTTAAATCTACTTGGATGGGAAGAAATCTAATGCTCATCTAATAACAAATAAAATGCGTCCTCGAGGCATCTTCTCAAATTAGTTCATCTTCTAGTTGAGAGGATAGGTAATAATGGAACTTGCAGAGAAATGACTCATTTTCTGAGAGCAACTTATTGTAGAGGTTTCAAAATAACGCAAGCTTTTTATAAAGATTAGGACTGTCAGGGGAAACCCCACTTAGATACTGAATAATTAAAGCTGTTTTGTTTTTGAGCCGCTGTCTCTTTGAGGAGGAGACAAAAATAAGTAACACAAATATAAGTAACACATCTAACAGAAAAAATAATATGATCAGAAAAAAAAGGCAAAAGGTGTCCTTGGGTACAGAAAGAGCACATGGCTACAAGTCATTTCAGGGCTCTAATCCAAGACAACAAACAATCAACTAGTGTGGTATGATGCTAGTAAGCAATACACATTTATTTGTTTGTTTTTATTTGCAACATGCTAATCCTTGAGCAGCAACCGATACCTTTGTGAAATACTCAAAAATCAGAAAGCTTCAATATATGTAAAATGTGTGTTTTGTTTTTTTTTAATGTTATTTATTATTATTATTATTATTATTATTATTATTATTATTATTATTATTATTATTATTATTATGTTTTTTCCCTCAAAGTTCTATCCTAAACATGCAAATACATTCTTTGAGGAAATGATTTATAAGAGTTAACCTAGTATTTCTGTTAATTTTTCTTTGGTTTAGCCAGCTTTCTTCGGCTGGATTGGGTCAGATTACTTTATGTGCAGAGCCTGCTTTGTAGTTTGAAGAGAATCATTACCATTCTGTAAAACCTTACTGGAGTGAAGTGTATTCTGGAAGCACTTTTGGTGTAATTGGTCAAGTGCGCCCTCTTGGCTGTTACTTTCAGTTGTTTCCCACATTTCCCAAATATTTGAAGCAGCAGCAAAGAAAAGCGTGTGCCATCTTGTTCATCTTCCCCTTGTTTTGATTCTGCACTAAGTCTTTAATTATAAATTATCTTGAAATGGCATCACTCTTGTCATTCTCTGAGAAACGAGAAGAAAAGGCAACTGTGATCTGAAAACCCAATCCTTTTTTAAGCTGAAGGACTGTTTTTCAGTGTTGTAACTGATGAAGAGTATTACTGACAAACTCACACTACTGTAAAACAACAAACCTGGTAGTAGTCATCTCCTTAGTAGTGGTCGTATAACCATGGAAATGGCCTAAAATTGAATCAGAAAGTGTTAAAAACATTTGTAGGTACTGGTGTCTACATTCACAAGACACTGTGAATCTCTCAGATGATTTTCTTTTATAGAAGTCCTAAGTAATGTTGCTCTATCTTTTTTACCAGATAAGGAAGCAAAGCATATTGAAGCCATATGGCAGCTCGAGTAAGTCACATTAAATCTTGGGGAAGAACAGCTGAACACATACACGCTGGGTTTTGGACCTCTGCCTGTGGAGCTGGCCAGTCATGCCTCGCACCAGCGAGCAGTGCTGTTCCCATAAGCTTCTGATGTTGATGGCAGCAAATCCTGCAATTTGGCTGCTGATGCCACTGTTGTTGTCAAATGTCTGTCGGATTTCTGTTCTGCTCGCACGTTGAAGCTCTGCAGTTTCAGACTGAGGTACCAAGCTGAAGTTTGCTGACTTGAAGGATTTTTCTCCTCTGGGTTCTCCTTTGTGCTGTTTTTGGCCAGTGAAGGCTCGGTGTTCTTCCCCCACCTTCTGGTTGCTCTTTGAAGTTGATTGCTTTTTGTTACCGTGCACACACCCATCTTTCAGGCTGACACAAATTAACGTTTAAAGCTGTACTTAGGAAAGGGATCTCCAGTTCTCAAGTTGTTTTTGTGTTTTTTTTTTCATCTCAAGAAGTTCATGGGGGCATCCTTCCCTCTCTCTCACTCCTTAGGGCTTGCATTATTGTTGCAGGTGTTTACTTTTTTTTTTTCTTGGTTATTGCTGTTTACAAGTGTCTTGATAATTATGCATTTCTAACTTTGCTGTATGACTGTTCTACTTCTAGAATTTAGTTGTACTTTTTCTAGCATTGTTTCTATTTTTTAACAGAACAATTTTTGTTTGTTTCTAAAGTTTATTGGGAAGATTTTTGAACTGCGGGGTAAAAATTAGGAATTTAAAGAAATATCTGTGTTTCTTGGCTAGAGCGTGGGGTAGCCAAAAGTTTCAGTGCAAGACTTTTCTATGCTATTGCTTCTAGTAACCTTGGTTCCTGATGTTATTGCTGCGTGAGGAATTCTCATGAATATAACGCCGTGGCTGAAATCTCACCATGTTATTGTCTCACTGGCAGGTACACTACTACAGCAGGAGACAAACAACTGCCTCTGCTATTCTGAGAGTCTTTATGGCTACATAAATATATTTCAGAATGTCCGCTAGAGACAATGGACCCTATTCTTGATTTTTTTATATAGTAGTTAAAAATATCGGGTGTTTGGTTTATGACGATATTTTCATTTTTCATGTATCTTCTGCTGTGATACATGTACATGTATTTTTAAATCGAAAACCCTTATTGGATGAAGTGTGTGTATGTATCTGTAAAAGCAATGCTGTGTAAAGCATGTAGTGAAGAATCCTGAGTAAAGCCTTGATTATAAGAAGCGCTGAAAAAAGACTGTAGTAATTTTACTCATTTATTGCAAGAGGACTGGAGCAGGAGGTTGATTTGAGACTAGGCTGTATTCTGGTACCCGAATAGAAAAAAGGCTTACATTTTGCATGAGGACAGATACTTTGTTCTTGTGAGTTTGATTTGCACACAACTTTCACCTGCTATATTAACAGAAGTGAACAGGGAGTCATCTTGATGGGATTTTCTGTGTCTATCTCCAAAAGGCTCAATAAAGTGTGTAGGTAGTGGGGATACTTTTCTTCCTCGCTTCTTGCACCCTTGCTCACCTGCCTTTGGCCTAAGTCCCTCAGTATGGCAACTCGTTTGTGAACTTTTAAAGCTGCTACTTGTGATGGCACACTTTACAAGTCAGTCTCATCTGTGAAAACCTTACTGTGCTAACAGTCATGTATAGTGCAGCTTAGAATTTTGTTTCTGCTTGACACTTGCATACTGGATTTTTTTTTTTCTTCAAGTCTCATTGCCTATAAACACTACAAAGCTTTGCTGTCGTGGTTTTTTATGCTGTTGTGTTTTTTTTCTGAAACCCATTGGTGAGGGAGTCAGTAAGCTACCACTGAGAGTAAAGGTGAAACTGACAATGAAGGAAGCGTGGATTTAGAAATGTGTGACCTTTATATTTTGCAAAAACGGCTGTGGTGTAGAGATTGTGTGAATGACACTGAAAACAAAGAAGAGTTGAGCTTTCTCTGTGCTTGGGCATCTGATGCATGTACTTGCTGTGATATCAACCTTATCTTTCCAAGTTAAAGATGTTAATGGCTTGTGGCAGAAAGTTGTTGCGCTGGAAAGGCACCAAGCTGTGTATTTGGAATAGCTGTGAAGGGAGAAGTAGGGCAAAACAGTTTATCTCCAAAGCAAATAGAAAAACCAGGTACCGTAGAAATCAGAACACCGTTTGTTCTTAAGATACTTTTAAGACTCTCATGCTGTATTTATTAAACACTAGGATACCGTTTCCTTTGTTAGAAGTATGTCAGAGTAAACAATGTGGTTTTGGTTAGCTGTGGATAAGGTGACAGTTTTTTGGAGGGGAATTCCTGAGAGCCTGTAAAGACAGCTGTTGAACCATCAGGATGCCATCCTCTCCACCTAAGACAAGCTGTTTCCACATCTGGAAGAGGGAAATGTTGCAGTGCCCTGGAGATGAGGTCTGCTTCATGGTCGTGCCTGAGGTCATAGCTGTCAGACAGACTTCTTCAAAGCTTTGTTTGCTGAGGCTATTGTAAATGGGAAAAATATGCAGCTGAGGATGGGAGAAGCTACTGTGGACATGCTAATGGTGTAGGTGGCCTAAAAGGAGGGGGATGTAAGGAATCAAGTGGACTAAAATGATGGAAAAGGTATCTGTTTTGTGTACAACACTGCTCATGAATGTCTGTAACGTATTTAGGGAATATATTTATGGTATGTGTTATTGAAAAAACACCTGAGATAACTTTAAAAGGCAGACAGATGTTTGTTGATAGCTTGATTACAAGGCCACCCTCAGTGTGTAGGACGACTGAGTGGAGAAGTGCTGGTCGTGACTCCTGGCCTCTACAAAATTTCGTTTCTGCAGTCCTCCTGTAGCCCCTCGTACTGTTAAAAGCTCTGTTTCTGATAAAGCTCTGTTTCGTTTTTAGGAGGGTAGCGCTGCGTTTAAAATGGAAGTGGACATAAACGGAGAGTCCAGAAGTGCCATATCTGCCCTCCCGGTGCCGCTGGCAGAGGTGAGCGCTGCGGGCAGGATGGAAGCTGAGAAGCCCCGGTGCTCCAGTACGCCCTGCTCACCCATGCGACGGACGGTTTCGGGGTACCAGATCCTCCACATGGATTCAAACTACCTGGTTGGCTTCACCACTGGAGAGGAGCTGCTGAAATTAGCCCAGAAGCGTACGGGAAACGAAGAGAATAAAGGGGAAGCTGGGCCTAACCTGCGCTCCAAACAGCTTGATTCGGGACTCACGCGTTCCTCCCGCTTGTACAAAGCCAGAAGTAGGTACTATCAGCCATACGAGATCCCAGCTGTCAACGGGAGGAGGAGGAGGCGGATGCCCAGCTCAGGGGATAAATGCACTAAGGCTTTACCGTGTGAACCCTACAAGGCACTTCATGGTCCTCTGCCTCTTTGCCTTTTAAAAGGTAAAAGGGCTCACTCAAAATCTCTGGACTACCTCAATTTAGACAAAATGAGCATTAAGGAACCTGCTGACACAGAAGTGCTACAATACCAGCTCCAACACCTTACCCTTAGAGGGGACCGTATGTTTGCAAGAAACAACACATGAGCTGTTGTCTCAAACTTTGAGCCAATTTCTGATCATTGCTCTGTTGCTGCAAAAATCCACTGTTGTACTGTGTACACGACTGTCCATATTGTAGGTGGTTGTGTCAGCTAAATGTTAACAGAAAGAAATTTATTTGAATGCAATCTTGACAATGCAATGTGTTAGAAGTACTTGGAGGGAGAAATCTTTCCTGAGGAAGCAGCTTCTAATGCAAACTTGAGTGCAACTGCTGGATGTTTCTCTGGACATCTTTTAACAACAAAAATTTTAAAAAGGCTTTTTTTTTTGCTTTGGGATTTTTTTTTTTGTGCAGTTAGATCTAGTGTTTACAGTAATTTAACACTGAAAAATTGGTGATGTCTGCTTGGTTGTTGCTAATTTTGGCTTGATGTTAGAAACTTCTCTTGGATAAGTACTGAAATTTTGGGGGCATTTTGGTTTCTAATTTTTGTTACTGTATTCTACAGTAAAATGTAGGTATGATTTAGGGTTTTTTTCATCGAGAGGAATATGAGCTTGGATAAATTGGATCACTTGTTATTTAAACAGTCTAGTTTAGAAACTGGGCTTGCACTGCTAATGAGGGGGAGATCTACTCATAAAATAAACCTTAGTTAATTTGCTACTTTAATCCTATTAAATTATTTTTTTAGTTCCTGCATGGAAGTAAGTGCTTTGCCTCCTCTATTCTATAAAATTTTTCAGGTTACATATGTGGGATATTTAAAAAAAAAAAAATCTTTTTGGGGATGAAGAGTTTTTGTTAGTGGAACTTATTTTTTACATCATCTGGACACCTAATGAAGGATTCACTTTAGATTCCAGTAGGTACACTGTAATGTCTGCGTTGGTGTGTCAGTAATGTTTTAATTTTAAATCATGATTTCTATAACGTATGTTAATGGAAGGTGCGAAATGACTGTCATTGCTTTGAAAATTTAGTTGATTTGAAGAACTGAACTCTTCTACTGAGATTTTTAAAGCAGATTATTTTTTTCTGATGGAGTGCAAGTAAAGTATTTCTATGTCAGCCTTGAAGAGATGATCCTGGATTATTCAGAGTAGATTGAATACACTGGCTTACTTTGTTGCTTAGGAAATTTTTATCCAAACATGACATCAAAAGCAGTTTTGACAGCTGTATTCCTAGATGTATTTAAACCATTTTAGTAACTTATGTTTGAAGATGGAAAATAGTCTTTAGGCTTTTTTTAGGTACAGTCTATTACTGAAGCAGTGTGTAACTTGGTTTTGGTTGATTACCTCTGTAGAAATTAAAATTAAGATCACGTTATTTTGAAACATAACTTATTTAATCGCTTCTTTCTGGTACAATGCCTTTTTTAAAAAAAAAAAACTTTTGTTTGTTGTTCAGAATGAATAGGAAGCACTAATTGGTGCATGTGCTGTGGAAAATGAGTTCTTCTCATTCTGACAGTTAACTCCATGGCTGTAAATGAAGGCAGCCTGGTTATCTGCATTTTACTAGTTTGGGTTTTCTTTTTTAGACTTACTAGAATTTTTGCAACAACTCATGTGTATTTTTAAAAATTAACTATGCTTCTGCAAATTTAATGTATTGAATAATGGTCTCTTCCTATATAGTCTTTTAGTTTGAAAAACAGAATATGGTCAGATGCCAAAGAGATGGGGATATTGTTTAAGAAATAAACACCACTATTTATTGAAATACCATATAAAACTGTATTTCTGGCTGAAAAAAAAATAAAAAGTGTAATAAATACCTATTGTTGTGGAGTCTTTTGCTGTATAGGAAAATTAGGGCATTTAAAAACACAACTTCAGTCAAATAATTTGCAAACACAAGTATAAAGCAGGAAGCTTGGATTTCTGTGAAATTAATTTTTAGTATTATGTTTCAGGAAATAAGACATGCAGTTATTAATTATTTGATCATGTTTCTAATGAAGTCCTGTGTCATAATTGTTTGGCTGAATTAATAGGATGGTGGCCGGTCTGTTTTGCCAAGTTCAAACATAAATGTTATTTTATTTATCTGCTCTATGACTTGCTTGTCGGAGTGCTCACACATGGAAATATTGTTTGCTTGACTGATACATGCGTGCAGTTTTCATAGGGTGTTAGCATTTGAGAGCCTCAAGTCTTGGTCTTATTTTGCTGTTTCTAGTATCTTCCACTAGTCTGTTAAAATCATAGATTAGATTGTTTCTGGCTATTAAAATTAATATGAACAATATGAACATGACTTTTTCAAAGTGAGATCTTCACTACCTGTCAGGAGCACAGAGTTGTCAGTATTCTTCGAATTAAGAGAGAAAAAAACCAAAAAGACTCAAAGAAACTATTTCATCGTCAGTTTAAGGTATCTTTCAGAGGATCAAAATTCTAATGGCAGAAACAACACAGGATACTAACACAAATCATCCATTATCACCAAAGCAGATTTGGTATCAAGTACAGATGTATAAGCTGGGATGTTGAGTCAGATCTAAAGTTCTGGCACATCACTGTTATTTTTATTAACTGTACTATGAAGGATTGGCGGGAAATCCATTTTTTTTTTTCAGTATTTTCTCCCTTTTCAGGGAGAAAAAATTGTAGGTACTCCTGCTGTGTTATGGTTCATATTTACAGCTGTACACAACACTTAGAGGAAATGCAGTGTTAACTTACCTTCTCTTGATCCATCTATTATGCTCTGACTTATCATCGGTGTTCCTGGGAGACTATTTTCTTGCTGAGCTTATTTACTGTAAGTGGGGACTGTTAACTGCTGACTAGGGCTACTGGGCTGTATGGCAGAGTGGGTAGCAGACAGGATTTAGAGCCTTCCAAAGCTGCTCTACTGCAGGGAGTTCTTGGAAGGCCAAAGTTATGGAGAGAGGTCTTTTACTCAAAATGCAGATGTTGGTGTCTGGATGTGGGGAAAGATTCTGAGTACTTCAGGGGTTGGAGTGTAAATAATTATTTAGAGGGGGAAATATAGAAGAGAAGAGGCCAATATAATTTTTAAGAAGAATTAGAAGAGTAGAAAGTCCATAAATTGAATAAAAATGGATATATATATATATATATATATATATAAATAAATCCATAATATCTGCAGGATTATTATCTAATTGGAAAAGCTATTTGGTGTCAAACTGTATAATTTGTTTCTGAAGAGATAAGAAAGTTATCCAGAGCACAAAACTGGGTAGAAAATCTCTAAATGAGTTTCAAAATGTTATTTCATTTGGCAAAACAGAGGACTCAGTGGTGTTTGTTTGTTTTTAAAGTGTTAAGGTCACTTAAGCTAATGTTGAGTTGAGCTAATATTAAGTGTTATGGACCAATTGTGTATTTGTAGTGATAGGAAGGGAAAAATTATCTACAATATTGACTAAGCAAATCATTGATACATGACATTATTGTTTTCCAACTCTTTTCAATGGTACCAAATAATACAAAACAGAAATTGTACAAAACTTGACATTATGGATGCTTGGGAGCTTGGTCAAGCTGAAGTCAATTACTAATGTTAAACTGCATTTTAAGGAGATGTGTGCTAAGAAGAAAGAATATCAAAAACTTGCTTCGATAAACCTACAACAAAAAAATTAGCTTAGGAGGAAGACTAATCTTAAAGTGGAGCTACATTGCAGAGATGTAATAAAGTACTTCAGTTCAGCTGTAGGAAAAAATGCAGATCTAAAAATGAAGGAAAAGTAGAACTGCTATAATGATAATATCTTTAAAGAAAAACAAACAAAAACTTGGCAGCCAACAGAACAAGTGCACACTGTTTGTATGCTGAGTTGGCCAATACAGTTTTATTGATGATCTTTTCTGGGGATTATTTGCATGAGTGGTTTTCAGCGATTTGGTCTGTTAACTGGGACATCAGTTTCCATGATGGGTAGTTCACTGAACACTCCAATAGAGCAACAAAAACATGCCTGATTGAGCGAGTGTCAGAAGAATGTATTTGTAACTTTTTTTTTTTTTTTTTAGGTCTGTATCACATCACAGTTCTTATCTGGAAGTTAACTCCAATTTTCTGAGTAACTGAGAACATTCAGATATGCTTCCCCTAGATTATAATGATTTTTTTTCCCCATTTTCCCTCTTTAGTCCATCATAAAAACACCCAGGGAAGATCCAGCTCTATCTTCACGACTAGAATATGGAAAAAAATAGTGTATATATATATATATATAATTTTTTTGGCGGGGGGCAGAGGGGGGGGGAAGGGAGGAAAGGGAGGGGAAGCAGCAGGGGGAATCCTGAGTTGTATGCAGAACCTGCTTCTTATCTCAAAATCTAGGTGTTGCTAAATACTTAAGTACTTCTGTGCAGAAATCTTTCTGTGAGCTTTTATAGATGTTTGACTTTAACCATGAAGTATAGGTTGAGTTATGAGATGCAGATAACCTACCTACAAACCAACCCAAACTATCTTGTGTCTCAGGAATCACTATATGCAATTCTTTGTCAATTTTTCCTTTTCAGGCTGATGACTTAAATCAATCAGAAGCAACATTATTTCCTTTGTCCAGAGTGCAAGGATCAGTCTTTGACATTACTTCCTCAGAAGCTGCCTTTGATTGCTGAGTTTGGCTGCTTCCAAGTGACAATAGATAAGATTCAGAGCTGCTGCTCTGATAATGAAAGTGCTAAACCTAATTCTGTGCATTTTTTGTGGGATAGCTCAAGGAGGGGAACATTGCCCTAATATTTCAAAAATCAGTCTGTTTTACATCTCCTTAACTTGGTTGTTTTCTCCTTAAGCTCTAACAGCTTGGTGGTAGAGTGGCATCAAGGCAAACCCACAGAGGAAATAACTAGATTGCATTAGAGGAGATGAGGGAAGACAGCTGTCAGTCTGGAGGAAAAATCCAAAATTACCTTACTTGTACTGAAAACAAAAGGATACAACAAATGGTGAAGATATTTACTGATCCATTTCCATTGATTCTTAGGAAATAGCTGTCTAAATTTATAAATGCTTTATTTTATTGAAGAAATAGTCTGGAGTAAAAAGGGGAAGGAGAAAGGATGGAGCTTTCTGTCGTGCTTTTGTTTCTGTAACAAGTGGAGGGGCAGAAAGAATTCATCAAAATATATGAGGAGGAAGTGAAAACAAAACCTTAGGGCAGTACTGCAAGAAAATAAGAGTGAAATAATTTATGGTTTCAGTGTCAAAACAAGTAAAGATATGGAAGGAGAGGGGTTGCAGTGTGCTGGTCTCGAATCTGTCTGGATGGCATTTTTAGTGTAGAAAGCATCTGGAGAATTGAGGAGCAGCGTGGGACATCTTAGCAAAATGCTGTTCAGAGCTGTGCTGCAGTGAAGGTTGAAAGGAGGAGCTTGGGGCTGTGCAGCTTTCATGTAAACTGTCATACTCATATGCTTAAATGAAATTTAGAGAAACCTTCACAGGTTTTGTTTAGTTTTCTGGAGGAATAAAACAATAAGCTGAATACTTTAGGCCATCCAGATATGATCTCAATTCAAATGCACTGTTTCTATGGTATCCTGCAGCTGTACATGGAGACAATAGGCAGTTGGTGCAACTTCGCACTGTTCTTTGACGAAGCTAAGTGTAGAAAGCTGTCAGAGCAAGAAAAAAAAAAAGTTTGATCTGTAATGTTTATTTGTTTATTTATTTTCAGTAAACAACAACAAAAAAAGGCTTCAAGGTTCTTTTTGTGTTCCAGTACCAACTATGGTTTTGTGTACCAACTATGAAGTCTGGTAGGATTACTGCCCTATTTCCTTTTTGCTAGACTCTTGCCTCCTCAAACTCTTGATGACCTGTTATTTCTGTGAAGGTGAAGGAGACCTGAGTGCTAAAATATGCAAGAACTTTCAGAACAGCGTTAACAGCTTGAACTCTATGAAAAACTGAGCAAGGCATGATTCTCTGTAGTGCTTTACATTAACCTATTTTTCAGAAACTCAAAAAATGTTCAAGAAATGTGTTAGGTACTGAGATACATTTAGAATTCTATTTAAGGCCAGAAACATTGCAGTACAGAGCTTCACTGTGTGAACTACAGTCTTCAAATGGGTAAACAGAGGGAGAGGGAATGTCACAGAGCGCTAGAATATTTACTGGCAGAACACCAAGATTTTCAGCTAGATGAATGAGAGAATGAGATGTGGTGGGGAGAAGAAAGAAGTAAATGTACAATTTCTCTTCTGCCTTAGTTCCATGATGGTTTTGATTCTAACTAGGACTTTTTTTTTATTAATAGTTTTTTCCTTTATTTTATTTATTTATTTTTTTTTAATGAAGGAGAACTGAAAGGTATCAAGAACAGCTACAGCTTCATGCATCTGACTGTATGCAAGATTTCTACCTATCTGTATATATTATATTCCATTAATCTTTAAATTCCATCCTTCAATGGAATTTAATTCTCTTATTTTTTTTTTCAGCATACTGACATTCTGCTGATACTATTACGGAATTAGTTTCAGTAAAGAGATAACTATAAAGAAGCTGTTTGATATTAGAAATGCTGATGGTGTCAGTTAAAATGATACAAAAAACTTCAAGTAAATGGTGGCAGTCTCACTGATGACTTCATTCTGAAGTAGAACTGAACATACAAAAAAATATTTTTATCACCTCAAGAAAGAGAAGTGGCACAAGATGATCTGTAAAGACTAGTGTGGCTTATGAATTCTGAGAGACATGGTCATGTTTTAGAGTTGATCAAGTGCTTCATAAAATCAGATCTTCACCATTCATAAGGGTTTTTAGAAGTTCAGATT